CCCGTCCTTTTCTTCTTGTATTCGCGCGACTCGCCATTTCAAAACGCGTATACCATACAACCACACGGTTCACGTTGTTACTGTTGTTGCCGTTGCTGTCGTCATTGCTGTCCCTCGTGTCGTTATTGTGCTACCGTTACTGCTGCTACGAATACGTCGATCGTGTAAGTGAACGCTGTTGTGCTCTGTCTAGCTCTCTACATGCTCCTATACAAGGTGTTCCAACAATGTGGGAATACTGATTAATCGAAGATTAATCTAGAGGTAATTTCAATTTTAATTTTCCTTTTGCAAAAAAAACTTTTCGTTACCTCTTTTTTTTACCGAATTATTAATGAAAAACATCGGCCAATCGTGGAGCGCCGTAAACTAGTTAAGTCGCGAGCGGTAGCGTTGGATACGTGCCGCCGAACGCAAACAAGTCCGAGCAACATGTGTCGAACAACAAATAATTCTGTCCAATGTAACAAATATTTTTTTTTACTCGAAAAAATTATATTGAATTATATCTTCATTCAGGAACAATGAAACTAATTAATCAATATTCGTATAAGATATTCGTATCCTCCCCTCCTTATCATCCTCCTCTTCCTCTCCCTTTTTATCGCGCTCCTCTTTCTCCCCTTCTTTATCATTTTCCCATTTCCCCGCTTCTTTATCATCCTTCTCTTCTTCCCCTTCTTTATTATCGTCCTCCCTTTCCTCCCCTCTTTTATCATCATCCTCCTCTTTCTCCTCTTCTTCAAATATACATCATTTATAGTTCATTCGTTAGAAAAGTTTCGTATTCGTCTTTTTTTTTTTACACCGCAATTTCAAATAATTTCGCGATCGGCCAGCGTTTTTTGTTAACAACTTTTATTAACAAAATCGTGATAAAAGTTCGTCGCAAAGGAAAATGTTCTCACTCGAAATTAATTCTCCAAGAATCTTCGATTAACATATGGATCCCCCACATTTTTGGGACACCTTGTATATCACCTTTTTTTCCATCACCGTATCTTTGCCATACCTTCTCGCGAGTGACGCGCGCGCTCTCGTTTACCGTGTCCCGCTCGAGTAGCTTAGCTTCTCTTTACCCTCGTTGCTTCTTTCACGGTCAACATTTACGCGGGGAAACGCACCGACGAAAATGCTTATATCCCACGCTTTTCTATCCTGCATCCGTTCGAATTAAAACGAGAAGAATAACGTTATCTCGATTTCGTAATTTTCGACACGTGTGGATAACAAGGAATATATTGGAATAATAATTCGTTGAAAAGATAGATACGGATTACGTACGTAATAGCGAAACGTTATCGATCGATGTACACGTAAAACGGATCGATGAAGCGAGAAAGCGTATCGATCGATTCGCTCAGGCACAAACGATCAATCGCGATCGTTCGTTACATTTCCACCATACTACACTTCTCTACTTTTTATTTCGCAAAAAATAAATAATTCAAATGATGCGATTTTTCATTTCGTCGAATAAACATAGGATATTGATGTAATGAAATTATAAATGAAAATTTGAAATTTTCAACGAAGAAGATGCGAAGTTGTACGAATTGTTTCGAATATTTTAATTAAATTAAAATCTCGCAAATCGGATGAAAAAAAATCGGACCCATGAACGGCACGCTTTCCGTGCGTTCAAGACAAGAGATTAGAAACAGTCTCCTCTTTTCTTTGAGTCGCATTACATCCGGTTTTCTCTTAATTCGATCCACCACTTTAATCCTTCCTCTCCTCCATTTTCTCCTCGATTATTTTGCATATTTTATATCGAATCGAATTTATCTCAACAACGAATCGGCAAAATCGTCTTATGCACGTAACAATTCGACAGACGATTTGACAACGAATTTTATAATATAGCAAAAAAATTCGCACGAATGTGTATATTCGAGGAATGAAAAATACGATAATTCAGACATTAATCCAATTAGAGAGAAATAAATTTCGTAATACGTACTAATCTTAAATTTGCGTTTGCCAAAACTACCAAATTTTTTCATTATTTTTTTTTTCCTTCTTCCTCCAATTATTATTGGAAATTTGAAGATGGCGATTAAACGCAATAATTCTATTCAAAGAATTAAATAGAACTTGAATTTAAAAATATCAAACGAAATGTACAAAAAAAAAGATGATTTATTTGACCACAATACCTTTGAGGAAAAAGGATATCAATCGCGAAATAGTCGTGCGAAGGCCACGGGATTCGAGGTCGAGGAAACTTGGTCGAATTGCTGTTGACTATCATGGTTTGTTTATTAACGTTAATTATCGATTCTTCGTATACCGATTAATCGAATCTCAGACACATCTATTCGTATTGTACGTATATCATTATACATGGACGGGTTGATGCCTAACTCTTTTCGTAGAAATCGTGAATAGGAATATACACGTGTAAAACATCGTTAAAGATAAGAGAAAGTGGCAAAAACCGATTGGTAATTAGACCAGGTATGTTTATTTATTGTGCACTATCTACGACCTTCCTTAATATCTACCGCAAACTAATTCTGAGTGATTATTAATTAACACGTTCGAGACCGAGTTGATTGAAACAAGAGATCCAGCATTTGTATCATCGATATCAATTATCTCTTGAAAATCGTTTCATTAAGAAAACATTAGAAAACAAAATATATATATATATACAGTCAGAGATCAAGAAATGTGAATTAAATTATTCTAGAACAATTTCAAAAAATACGAATTCGCACAAAAAATCTAATCATCGATAATATCGATAATTCGAATCATAACCGAGGAAAAAAAAAAATAACGAAAAGCGAGAATAACTGTTGTCAAAATATACATTCGATTCTTGCGAAAACGTTAATTATTCCGAGGGAAGGACGTTTCAATCCTTGCGATTGAACATTCGAAATTACTTCTATTTCGTAACGAGGTGATTTGTCTCGAGACTTGTCGGTGGTGGCGCGGCGTATCCGTGTGCGATATGAAACGGAATCGCGGACAGGGCAACGCTTGGAGAGAGAGAAATCGGTGAACGAAGAGAATCCGGAGGGGAATGGAAGGAAAGAGGCGCGAAATGAGTGGAGAGCTTAAAGTTTTTCACGTTATCGGCTCATGTCTAAGCAACTGATAAAAGTCCGTGTTCCTACGGATAGATAACGGGGAATGGGCCGTATAAAGAGTCACATAGATAGAGGCAGATAAAGCACGGTCCACGGAACAGGTGAATGTTACGAGACAGACCAACGCCCGACCTTCTTCGTCGCTTTTGCAGTGTCGCGTTCATATAGTACATATCGTTCACTTTTTTTCCGTGTACACACACACACACACACACACACACACACACATTGTTTATTACCGGCTTCCTTCTCGTTGTGTCTTCTTTTCGTTTTTCCCTTTTTTCTCTCTCTCTCTCTTTCTTTCTCTCTCCCCTTCCTCCCCCCCTCTCCATCGTCGAACGGTTGTCGAGAAACGTTGTTCACGCGTTATATAGAAGGTTCGTCGTAAACGTTGCTCGTTTGTCCGCTCGTTGTTCATCGCGTGCGTCACTTGTCGACTTGCTCGATCTTCGAATCCGTAATCCATCGAGATCTTTTCGATCGTCGAGATCGGCAGACGATCGAATCGCGAAAGTGTTTCTTGATTTCGTTCCATCACGAGGAGGCGCAGACAGAGGCCAGTTGTTTGTTACCGCTTGCCAACCGTTTCGTTTATTATCTCCTATTCCCCGCCTTCCACTCGATTCGTTCCACCGGAAACCGATTCCCTTATCCAATTTCTTTACCCATCTTTCTTCCCTTCTCTATCGATTTATTCTCACGCCCTTCCCTTCATTTTCTTCACCTACCGCAAATACGATCTCCTCTCCTCCCCCCGCCTCTTTTAGTTACTTTTCGTATCGCTGTGCCGGAAAGGAAAACGAATATTTCATGGAGACGGATCGTTATTGGGGCGTGCACTACAGGTACTGTCCCGCTTTACGGATCGATTTAAAAGAAGGAAGAAGGGTACCGTTCCAAGGAACAAGATCGTATCGTGGCTCGTGCGACTAAAGGACCAAGTTAGATCTTCTTTACGAATCGAACACCGGTTTTTTTCCGATTTTTTCCGATCGAATTCGATATTTCGCGCGGATCGAACAATTTCTGTTTTGTTTACCTGTTAAAAATAATCGTTAACCTGATCTTTTTGTTTTGCAGCGGCGGCATGGCCGGGCAGCACTACTGCCTGCGCTGGAATAACTACCAATCAAACATGACGTCCGTTTTCCATCAACTACTTCAAACGGAAGCTTTTGTCGACGTTACCCTGGCATGTAACGAAGCTTCCTTAAAAGCGCACAAAGTAAGTGAATTTCGATAAGAAATAAATCAGTCAGATTTACTTGATCTCGATTATCGAGATGTCTCTTGAATTTCGACCGAAATTCATTTTGCTAATCGTCACGATTGTTTTTTTTCTTTTTATTTATTTATTTATTTACTTAATTGATAACGCGTTTGTCTTGTTTGTTTCACAACTATATAGCTTTAGATTGATGTACCGATTTTCTTCTATCTACATTATTGATCGTTCGATACAACTTCTTGTTTGCGCAGGTGGTATTATCGGCGTGCAGTTCCTACTTTCAAAAGCTCCTACTTTCAAATCCCTGCAAACATCCGACAATCATTATGCCACAAGATGTATGCTTCAATGATCTCAAATTTATTATAGAATTCGTCTACAGAGGAGAGATCGATGTTTCGCAAGCAGAACTTCAGGTAAGTCATTGCTCTGTATACATATGTTTTATTAAAAAACGACGAATCATGTGTCATTAATCCTTTATTTTTTTTTTTTTTTTTTTTTTACTATTTCTCTCTTTTTTTTTTTTTTTTTTTTTTTTTACTATTTCTCTCTATTTTTTTTTTTTTCTTTCGTTGTTCGGTGTTGTTCGGTGTTGCATTGTTGTCGCGTCTCTATCATTTTATTTATTGAAATAACGTCCTTTGACACTGTAATAACGCATAAAAATTTATTCAGCGAAAGTAATTTGAACCTCTCACTTTCAAACCGTGACGCAAATTGACAAATAGAAATTGAAAAATAAAGATTAAACGATACAAAGAAAAACTTGGCGATACTTTGAACCGCGCAAATAACGCAATCGAATCGCGACCCTTTTCCCCCCTGATGTTGTTCAGAATGCTTGATTAAACGATATAAATGACAAGATGTTCGAAACTTTCTCCTTCCCCTTCCATCCGTCGTATCCTAGGTAAACACAAACACAACCCTTATAGACCCTTTTTACCGACAGTGCAAGTGAAGTACTCCATTTTCGATATTACTCGTTGAGCATTTGTCCACAAACTCTATATATCCACCGGAGGTTAACTCACTTCATTTTCTACGAAACGATTTCGCCATGAACTGATTCCTAACTTACCGATCCAGATTCATTTGCTCTTTTTTATCTCTATCCAGTTATCGATAGCGTAAATTCTTTTTGAATCTTCTAGATGGCGTAAATGTATCTATTTATCCATTGTTGTTATCCATGTTAACTTTAGATTTGTTTCTGTCGTTTGATTTTGTATCCTTCCTATTTCCGATTATCCCATTTTTTGTTTTCTGTTAATTATTTTCATTTTAAGTTATTATATAATTAATGTAAAAAAATCTAACAAATAACGAGCGTTTCTTCTCAATCCGTTTTAATACTTCTTTTATTCGGAATCCAATTTTGCGTTAAAATTAAATTATATATCAGAATTATATGAAATTAAATAAAACATTCATCGATAATAATTACTTGCTTACGTATTTGCAAAATGATACAAATTTACAAATCCGAAAGTAACATATCAACTTATTATTATCGAATCTTTTTGTATTTTTATATAAAGATACATTTTTATGATGAAGATACATAAACTGGTTAAACATTTGAGTCGAATATACCATCGTGTAACGAATAGACATTACGATTCAATCAAAAACCAAATTTAAATTACAGAAAAAAAATTACGTGACAGCATTGACAAATGCTCAAGCAACTATCTTTTTATTAAAAATATAAGAAAAATATAACAAAAATAATCTTCACTGATATCGTTAGTTTTCTCACATAAAAATATTTGTTTAATCTAGTTCGATTGTAATAGTATTTATTCTTTGAATGCAAAAATTATTCGAAATTTCAATTTCATCACATGAGAAGAATAATATTAAAAGAAACTGTTTCGGTAATATTATATTTTATATACATAAGTTTTTGGAATATCAACGATATTCATAACAAATGGATAAAACTAGAAATGATTTTAGAAAAGCAATTATTGTTTGATGTTAATCGAAATAAACGATTTTTATTTAATATGGTAAGAGTAAAAGAAATAGTTGATAGGGAGTAGAATGAATTTGGATTTTCTGACATATTAATATGAATATGAGGGGAATTGGTGAAGGAACGAATTATGGCTGTCCCCTCCCTCTCTAAGAAATACCGGATGGTAAAACCCATCCTTTCCGTGAACCTTGACGAGTGATGCTTTACCATCTCCAGCATCACGCGTCATCAGCCAGATATGCTTCGAGGTATCTTTACACACGTGTTGATTATTCTTCAATGCAATGCTTATATCTATCTATATATCTATCTATATAATATTCATATGTAATATAATATAGTAAAATTTTTCCTTTGAGACCCTTTTTTTCGCGTGATATGCAATATTTAATATTATAATTATATTGTCAAAACTCTATATTTTTAATATTAAAAAATTATTATTGGTTTTATAACTTATTAATTGTTAATATTATAATATAGAGCATTGATAATATGCAAAACTTTTTATTATTTCATAAATATTCGTAAATATTTATCATGTTGCACTATAATAAATTTCTGGAAAATCTATTAATCTTATTGACAATAAACTTTCACGCTTCCAAAGAAAGGCGATATATTTGAAAAAACAACTTGGTAACTTGTAAGCGATGTTTTAAGCTTCGTTGTTTCGCCATTTTTTATCTTCTTTTTAAACCGCTCCGTGAAGCAAAACGTGTTGGCACGCAATAATGCTCACGTCCCTAATCGATGTTGTTCATCCAAACTTTTGTACGTGTTCGTTTTCGTTTCAAACGATTGTGATTCAGAGTTGTAATAAACTTTAATGTAATAAGCTTGTGAAGATTAATTAAAAATTAATCTTTTTTATTTATAACGATTCTTTATATTCTCATTTTTATTTATATTCATTATTTCGGTTTCAAAAAGTTGGCACGAAATTCAAAATACTGCCAAAGACAAAGAGAAATCCAATTTAATCCAAGAAAGGCTTTGTGTTTCATTTTCAGAGAAAAACTTATGAATATAGCCATGCCCAACGCGTGGTTCTTCGACTCGTTGTCCTTGACACAAGAATTAACAATAAGACGACAACTTATACGTATACGTATTCGTATATATATGTGTATCAAAATACACGTTACTACTATTATTAAATACTATTTATTAGGATAAATCAGATCGTCGATCTTGATTTTGTATTGATCACATTTGATATAAGTTTCAATTAGTCTCTCGTGTCAGAAAGTTATTGATTATTGAATTGTTCTTGATTATTGAATGCAATTAATGATAAAATCAAATTAAAAATAATGAGAAGAAAAAGAAAATAATAGTATATGATTTATATATTTGCTTATACTATACATATACATATAGGGCGAGTATCTGAGGCATAAGGATAGTATTCTCTACTGACCTCGTTCTCCATCCGTATCTCCTTTCTTCGACTTGTCGGCGAGAAATTCAGTAAGGGCTCCGTAAGATAGAAAATGAAAGAGAAATGATAAAGAATCACTTATTATCATTTATTATTTCTATCGTTACTTTGAATTTGATTTAACGAAATTCACTTTATAATTTTTATAATTTTTAAATTTTTCAAACTTTTAATTGCGAATATATATATTACACATATAGTAAGAAAAATAATTCTGGGAAGCAATTCGATTGTACGTTTTAATCAGATCGATAACACTAATCGATATTCGATATTTATTGTATGTGTGCGTATATCTATATATGTATTGAGATTCGAAATTTATAATTCTAAAATAAAATCAGATTCGAAATTTATAATTCTATAAAAAAATGAGATACCCGATAATCACGAATTATACGATTCGTTAGTTACTTGCTGTACGAACTACATATCGATACATTGCAATCACATTATTTCTTGCATTGGTGCGCGACCTAATCGTTAAACAAAAGTAATGAAAAAGGCGCGCCGATAATCGTGAATGCCGATGCGTGATATGTGTCTAATTGGAAGGGTTACAATCGCAACCTGGATCGGTCTTCGCGTTTCTGATCAAACCTGTATCGGCCACATGTAAATTAATCGTAGTTGTAACTAATAATTTTCTTCTGTGGGGGAGTCAGAGGGGTGCAAGTACAATACGCCAAAGCAAGCAACGTAGCGTGATTCGCACAACAACGTTCGTGATCGTGCTTTCTTTATTCCTCTTAATAGATGCAAACTAGAAGAAATGAGAAGAGAAGACAAGAAATGAGAAGAAACGTGAAGAGAAATGCGGCGAAGAGAGAGGAGGAGGAGGAGAAGAAGAGGCGGCAAAGAGGGAAGAGGGCTAGCGGCAA